CCTATATAAGAGAGGCCGCTCCCACAAAGTTCCGCACTACGCTGCGGCGTGCACCGCAGGTCGGGACAGTAGGCCTCCGAAACCGCACCTTTTGAGTCCTGTACGGGAGAAGGGTGATACTACTGACTTCTTCGTCACAGACGCCCCGGACTCCGTCGACAACCTCCTCGACGACATGGAGGACACACCCCAAGTCCAGTGCCTCTGCTCCTGCTACTGTCCCGTACGTGTTCTTATTTTTTCTGTTAGAAGTCCTGCAACAATTTTTTGTTCTAGTGTTTTCCCTAGACATGTTAGGCTCTACTTCATATATGCATCTTGATCTACTATCTGCTCTAGAGATGATCGGTTCTAACTCATATATGCAGATATTATTTACCTTCTCTTTATCAAATCGCATGGCTTGTTTTATCACTGCTGTACTAGTCATGCTTTATCTAGTATTTTTGTTAATAAAATCATTCAGTAAATTGCTCATATTTCCAACAGATATGACCTGGAGGTCCGAGTGCGCTGGTGCGAAGAACAACACATCGTCATCTGTGAATATAGATACCCTCGGCAGGCATGCGTGGGTTACAACCAAACTCAGACAGAAGCTTGTTCTGCACCGCCCACTGTAGCATGCTGTGCAGCGTGTCCATGGAAAGAATAAACAGAGCAGGCGATAAGGAATCCCCTTGCCTAACCCCCTGGCCAAGTGCAAACGGCTGGCACAATTCACCATTGACTAGCACTGAGGATGATGCCGTAGATAGAAGGCCACAAATCCAAGAGCACCATCTTCTGCCAAATCCTCTTTTCCTCAAAACCTCAAGGAGGAATTTCCAGGATAAAGTATCAAAAGCTTTGGATATGTCAATCTTCATCAGAATTGCTTGCTTGCGCTTTTGGTGCAGTCAACGTGCCGTATTGCATACAAACTTAAAGTTTTCATGCATGTTCCGTTTGCAGATGAACATGCTCTGGGCCTGCGAAATGAGAACCGACAGGGAGGGAGCTACACGCACCGCAAGTACCTTGGCAAATATCTTGGCAGCCCCATGAATTAGATTTATCAGTCTGAATTTGCTCACCTCGAGGGAATCAGATTTCTTTGGAAGGAGTATGATTGATGAGTTCAGATCGTTGAAGGAGTGGAATCTGCCATCATATAGAGCCCTCATGACCGCCATAAAATCTTGGGCAATGACCTCCCAGCAGACCTTGTAGAATAGCCCGGAGAATCCATCCGGTCCTGGTGCCCTATCCGAGGGCATGTCCATAATTACCTTCTTAATCTCTTCTTCTGTGAAGGGTGCTTCCAAGGCCGTAGACATCTCAGGGGTGAGCTGACCCAAGTGTAAAGCTTCCAGACGGATATATTGGCCTCTCTGTTCCGGCGCGCCCATCAGCTTACTAAAGAATTGTCGTGCCATGTCCAACTTGTCCTCACTAGCCGTGGCTGTCCTGTCGCCATACTTAAGGTATGGGATCAAGTGGTTACGGCGTCTCCCGTTAGCTTTCATGTGGAAGTATTTAGAGTTGGCATCACCCTCCTGCAGGTCTCAAACCCTTGCACTCTGTCTCAGGCGCACTCGTTCC